TGCATTCCAGCCTGGGCAAGAAAGCGAGACTCTGTCTCTAAAAAAGAAGAAAGAATGGAGTCTTCCTTACTAATCCTCAGGTAAACTGAGGCTCAGAAGAGGCTCCACACTCCACTTGCGGTGCATAGCTGCTTTTCCCTGGGTGTGCACGTCACCCACAGTTGAAGAAATGCCATCCCCAAGATGGCAGGATTTGGTCGGCTGGGAGCACATGGCTGCTTTTCTCTGGAGAAGGTCTTCAGCTGTTTTGATGCATCTCTGCTACCAACCCAATTCCCTGGGGCCCCTGCCCCTCTCCTGCTGGGTGTTCTTCCAGCATCCTCTGTTCCTAACTCCACTCCCCGCACACTTTCCTCAGGTTACACCGTGACCTGGCTGCCCTCCGGGGACAAGACTTCGTTGTTGGCCTCAGGAGCCCCTCGATACCAGCACGTGGGCCGAGTGCTGCTGTTCCAAGAGCCACAGGGCGGAGGACGCTGGAGCCAGATCCAGACAATCCATGGGACCCAGGTGCGTACAGTCCAAGGGCATCTGCAGACCAGGGACTGGAGGGACACATGTCACACTCCCTTCTGTCCTTTGAACGCTCATCCACTTACGTGTTTACCCTGTGCTAAACACCATCACATTTGTCCCTCATAACACACGGAGGTAAGCCCTGTCATCTCCCTCTCTAGTTTAAGAAACAACCTCAAAGAGCCCACCTTGTCTTAATGCACGTAGACTAGGGGTGGATCCAGGATTGGAACCTGCATTTGAGGGAGTGGCATAAGATGAACTCGGTACAGGTATCTCCCTGCCAGCCTCTGCTGTTCCCACAGGCGTCTCCCCAAACACCTGCCTCTCCCCACAGATTGGCTCTTATTTCGGTGGCGAGCTGTGCGGCGTCGACGTGGACCAAGATGGGGAGACAGAGCTGCTGCTGATTGGCGCCCCACTGTTCTACGGGGAGCAGAGAGGAGGCCGGGTGTTTATCTACCAGAGAAAACAGGTGGGGCCAGGACCTGGGGCTGAGAGCGAGGAGGCGGAGCAGCAGAGATTCGCAGCTCCCAGTTATTCTGAAGGCTTTCTCTGTCTGGTCATGTGGTGATCAAACTTTTAGAACGACAGAGAGGCAATAGCGAATCCTCACTGGGGAAAGACTGTGTGCAGGGTCCAGTGCCAATATTTCTTTTTCCTTTTGAGACAGAGTCTCGCTCTTGTGGCCCAGGCTGGAGTGCAGTGGTGCAATCAGTGCTCACCACAACCTCTGCCTCCTGGGTTCAAGGGATTCTCCTGCCTCAGCCTCCCGAGTAGCTGGGATTACAGGTGTGTGTCTCCATGCCCAGCTAATTTTTGTATTTTTAGTAGAGACGGGGTTTTGCCATGTTGGTCAGGCTAGTCTTGAACTCCTGACTTCAGGTGATCCACCCGCCTCAGCCTCCCAAAGTGCTGGGATTACAGGTGCCCGCCACCACACCCAGCTAATTTTTGTATTTTTAGTAGAGACAGCATTTTGACATGTTGGCCAGGCTGGTCTCTAATCCTGACCTCAGGTGATCCACCCGCCTCGGCCTTCCAAACTGCTGGGATTATAGGCGTGAACAGCTGCACCTGGCAGGCGGCGCCAAACTTTTTATAGACAGGACCTCACTTTCCTCATAACCACCTGCTGAGATACTACAAGCTTTATTTTATAAATGGAAATCCCTGGGGTGCAGTGGCTCATGCGTGTAATCCCAGCACTTTGAGAGGCTGAGGCAAGACGATTGCTTGAAGCCAGGAGTTCAAGACCAGCCTGGGCAACATGACAATATCCTGTTTCTACAAAAATAAAAATAAATAAATTAAAATTTTAAAGTTAGCCAGATGTGGTGGTACATGCCTGTAGTCCCAGCTATTTGGGAGGCTAAGGTAGGAGGATTGCTTGAGCTCAGGAGTTCGAGGCTGTAGTGAGCTGTGATTACGCCAATGTACTCCAGTCAATGCAACAGAGCAAGACTCCGTCTCAAAAAAAATTATCCAAAAAATGTATATATATATAAAGGGAAACCCCAAGGCTCAGCAGGGGGATGTCTGAAACCACAAGGTCACAGTAAGAGGACAGTAAGAGGCTGGGCTGGTGCTTGAACCCTGGTTAGTCTGACAGCTCCTTTCCAATTCTTGGAGGGACCCCGTCTTACCATTTTTTGCGTTCTTCACTCAGTTGCTCTGTGACAGCTTGCTGAGTGACTTGGGTGTGACCTGTCTCTTGCTACTTCCTAGTTGGGGTTTGAAGAGGTCTCAGAGCTGCAGGGGGACCCTGGCTACCCACTGGGGCGTTTTGGAGAAGCCATCACTGCTCTGACAGACATCAACGGCGATGGGCTGGTGGACGTGGCTGTGGGGGCCCCTCTGGAGGAGCAGGGAGCTGTGTACATCTTCAATGGGAGGCATGGGGGGCTTAGCCCCCAGTCAAGTCAGGTGAGGTATCCTGCCTGCCAATCACACTCCATTCTCGGGTGCCCTAAGCCCCCAAGCCCAGACCCCACTCCCCAGCCCGACCCTTCCCTCCCTCCAACCTACCTCTCCTCAACTTAGTGATAATTCCTTTCTTGCTCTCAGCGGATAGAAGGGACCCAGGTGCTCTCAGGAGTTCGGTGGTTTGGACGCTCCATCCATGGGGTGAAGGACCTTGAAGGGGACGGCTTGGCAGACGTGGCTGTGGGGGCTGAGAGCCAGATGATCGTGCTGAGGTGAGATGGGGCTCCCGGGTCATACCTGATGACCCCAGCTCTTATCCTATGTGTTGTTTATATTTTATTTATTTATTTATGTTGGGTTTTTTTAGAGACAGGGTCTCTCTTTGTTGCTCAGGCTGGAGTGCAGTGGCGTGATCATAACTCACTGCAGCCTCAAACTGCTGGGCTTAAGTGATCCTCCCACCTCAGCCTCCCAGGTAGCTGGGACTACAAATGCTCGCCACCACAGCTGGCTAATTTTTTTTTTTTTTTTTTCGTAGCAATGGGGACTTGCTATGTTGCCCTAACTGGTCTCAAACTCCTGGTCTCAAACTATGCTTTCTCCTCAGCCTCCCAGAGTGCTGGGGTTACAGGCAGGAGCCACTATGCATGGCCTAATTTTTATTTTTTTAATATATGGTCTTCCAGGCCAGGCACAGTGGCTCACACTTGTAATCCCAGCACTTTGGGAGGCCAGGGCAGGTGGATTACTTGGGGTCAGGAGTTCAAGACCAGCCTGATCAACATGGTGAAACCCTGTCTTTACTAAAAATACAAAATTTGCCAGGCGTGGTGGCAGGCACCTATAATCCCAGCTATACAGGAGGCTGAGGCAGGAAAATTGCTTGAACCCGGGAGGCAGAGGTTGCAGTGAGCCGAGATCGCGCCATTGCACTCCAGCCTGGGCGACAGAGTGAGATTCCATCTCAAAATAAAAAAGAAAAGAAAAGAAAAGAAAAAAAGATACAGTCTTG